GCTTACTTTGACATGCCATAACTCTGATTTTAGTTGCTTAAATCATGTCATGTTTGGTTGTGTTAGGTGTAGTGTAACACCTCTTTTGTGGCCTTGCATGCCTCATGTTTTTGGCGTTGCATTCTAGCTAGTTTCGATCATGTTTTTGGTCTTGTTTAGACCTGCTTAAGGACTGTTTTAGGTCCCCTTGGCCCTTAGGGACTTGCTTCATGTAGCCTTGGTTTGAGTCACTTGGCTAGTTTCGAGTTTTGGGCTTTATTGCATGCCTTACTTGCTTAGTTTGGTTGATTTGGCATCATCCCTAGCATGATTTCGGAGCTTAACATGTTTGTTACATGCCCATATTTGTCTCTTTTAAGTGTGCTTGAAAGTCGCCTTTTTATGCCTAAGTGTTAGGTTAACTAGCATGCATGTTTGTATGTGTATTTCATGCCTTTGTTGCATCATTTTGGCCACTGATTTGGGCCTATTTGAGAGTCGTCCATTTTGGTTTAAGTCCATCCTATGCATGTTGTCTCATGCTTGCCTTGCATGTTGTCGCATGCTTGTTGCATATTTAGTGCCTTGCATGTTTGCATGCTTGTTAAGTTACATGCTTGTTTGCATGCTTGTCTTTGCATATTGTTATATGCTAATTGCCTTGTATAGCATTGTTGCTTGCATGCTCATGTTGCATTAGTTTGCTTGCATACTTAGGTTGCATAGCATTGTGCATGCATCCCTTGCCCCTTGATCAACCATGATAGAGGTTGGGGGCCCCTTTATGTGTTTTGTGTGCATTTCATTTGATATTGAAGTTGCACACTTGGCTTCTTTGGCCATCATGCATTGAAATGCGTGATTGATGGCCCGATGGTCGAGAACCATACTCCTTTGAGTCTTAAACATGATAAGGAGGGTGGTGATGCACACTTTGCCTTGAAAATGCATTGCCATGCTCTGTTTGTCCTCTGCTGCAGCAACACAGCATTCTGCAGGAAGATATGGCCGGTCGGCCATCTTCAGTGCCGGTCAGCTAAACATTGTTGGCCGAGAGCCTTACATTTGGTCGATGATCAATTTCCCATGGCTGATGGCCTTGTCTCTTAGCCGGTGACATCCCACAGTGCTTAGGGAGTGGTTCAAAAGCATCCCCTTGGGACTTGTGCAGCTTTCAGAGGAGCAAAACAGTGCAAACAGAGGCAACATGTGACATAGCGATGGATTTCCGAGCGAAGCCATCCGAGCACACGTGCACCCCTCTTCCCGAGGCTGTTTTTACTGTTTTCATAGTTTAATTAATTTGTTTAATTAGTTAAGTGTTATGTAATAATTAATTAGCTAGTTAGTTAGTTAATTAGTCAATTTGTATTTTTCTTTCGAACCCTCCATCGAGAGGGCGAATTTTGTAATAAGTGTGCGTGCGTGTGTGAATATCTTCTAACCCCACGTCTTTCTCCCTTTTACTTACCTACTTTCAATGGTTAGTTTTAGGTCATGTTTCAATTAGCATCCTTATGCTATACATGTTTGCATTCATTCATCTATCTTGCATGCACCAGGCTCGACGCATCATACTAACTGCATTGTATTTTAATACCAATTTGAATACATGTATCAAGTTGCATCTCATATGTCATCTTAGAAATAGCCGAGCCTGTTTCTAATTGCATTTTGCATGTGTTGCATTAGCCATCTTAACATGAACTAGGATCATGCATTGATTACTAACTAGTTTCTATTTTGGCTCAGAGAACTAGGTAAGCGTTTATGTTTTAGCATCTTGCATGAGTGTGAGTGTTGCCATGACTTCATACTTGCCATGAGGCTATTTGCTTATGTGATATAACTGCCTGAATGTTTGTGGGTGAAGGTTAGATTGCTTGAATTGGAACAATTCATCGAAATGCGAGTTTCAAGCCCACTTGAGGTGGCAAAATCATGATTTCTAAGCCCACTCGAGGGTGGCAAATCCACGTCTTAGCCTACTTGCGAGTAACACCTTCAAACCATTTTCAAACAAACATGAGATGTGTTGTTCCAATTTAGGCGATCTAGTCTATACTTGTGCGTTGTGCACATCACATAGTAAATTCTAGCTAATAACCGGAATAAGAACGCATATGTTTTTAAAAACAAGATATCATGTTTAGTAGTGGCCGATCTTTGATCGGGCGAGCGGGGGTGCTCATTGCATGACCTTCCCCAATCGTACCCAAGTTCCCGAGCCGATGCAACTTTGGTGATGACGGACACGTGGCCTCAGGCACGAGTCAAGGTTTCCTAAATTCCCCCAAAATAAAATATTTAGGTGGCGACTCTGTATCTGCCAAAGCAGTCCATGTTTGACACTTCTTTCTTAAAAATCAGTTTTCCAAAACGATTTGCCAGATTTGGACTCTTTGGTGATTTATCAATCTCACATCGCATATTGTGAGATTAGATTATGGACCGTGACAAATGTGTCTGAACTGTAGCATTGAGGCCTTTGGGGCGCGTCTACACATACACCTACAAATCACTCCACTAAATCCTCACCCAAAAAAAAAAAAAAAAAAAAAAAAAAAAAAAAAAAAAACCAAAAAAAAATAGAAATGTAAAAATTTACCTTACTCACGCACACCCAACATTAGGAAAAATCCAAACAAAATCACACACAAGGGCAAACGAGTAAACTTTCAAACCCCCAAATCAAGGAAATATAACATACCCAAAATAAAAATGACTAATTAGTTTCACTGCTGGAAAATTCATTTTTAGTTTTTAAACGCCGCTAAAAGTATTAGAAACGTCACTAATTCTTTTTGTGACGTTTAGTACCAAACGCCGATGACGCGGCCGTCGCTATAGCTTTATGGCGTTTCGAAAACGTCGTTATATTAGTATAGGCGGCGTTTTTAAATGTCCTACCTAACTGTACCATGACGTCAAAGTAACATTTAGCGACGTTTTTGAAAACGTTGTCATAGACATTTATAACTTTTAAAAATCTAACCGTTGGGGTGGGATATAGTGACGTTTTTTAAACGCCACCATAACCTTTTTTTTTTATTTTTAAATTGTGCTAATTGTATACGGTTGACCAAAAAAAATACCTATCAAACAATTATTAAGAACTAATAATTGATGTTTATTAAAATAATAAATAAACTAAGCTTGAAAACAAAATTAAAAATAAGAAACAATGCATTGCACACCTAAAAATAGAAACAATTTGTGTTCAGACTTTAAATACATCAATTAAAATCAAAATGGTCAAGAAGTGTAATTTGCCCAAAAAAATTAAAAAGGAATAGAAAGCACACTAATATGGCTTATAATATTAAAAATACCACTTGTCTTCCATCCAAAGATGAGCCTAAACTATATGCAACAGATGATACATTTGGAACCATACAGTACATTATAATCCAATTAAACAAGATCAAACATTATAATCCTTTGAAACTCTTGACGAACTCGATCTGACTATCACATTTGGGCCCACACTCATCGTTGCTATTTGTCCAGAACTCATACTCAACCCGATCATCAGGATGTGGAAGAGACTCTCTCCAGTCAAGATTTATGTTAACCATCTCACCATTAGATAAAGCTTTCTTGATATTTTCACCAAAAGATTTGCTAATTAGTGTTGCAGGGATAGTTATTTTTTGCAGATAATCTGGTGCTGTGTCCTCTTCTTCTGGGGTGTCCATGGTGATCAAAGGTTCAACTCTGTCGTTCACAACTAGAAGAGCTGCTGCTCCAGCATTCTGTGCATTCCATGCCTTCAAGGTGAAGTAACAATCTGCGACAAATGGAAACTTATAGATATCAGAAATTCCCTTGGCGAGGTCAATAACAATGAATGTGAAAATTATGAGAACTAGTCACAACTCAACTTGTTATCCGAGTTGTATATATATTTATGAACAAAAAACCTACATAGACGTACACACACACACACACACACACACACTTGGTCCGTAGCTGAGCTACTTCTCCCAGACCTGCATCCAATGAGGACAGTGAGGACTAAAATTACTGAGTATACTCTTTACTTTTATGGAGATACATAATAATTATTATTATTTTATTAAAAAAGCTATTTTAAATAGCGTTTTCTTCAGAAATTTTTTTTATGTTAAAAGCGCGATTTGGAACAGCGTTTTCTTAATTAAAATCGCGATTTAAAATAGCGATTTCACTATTCATCAACTTTTGGCCTCCTAACAGTAAAAGCGCGAATAGTAACGCCTTACAGTGTTTCTAACAGGACTTGATAAACATTGAATGATAAGAGCATTGAATTTTAATGAAATGGTAGAAAAACCTCTTTGAGGAACAATCTCCCGTAAATAAAATACAAACTTACTAAATTTGAAAAATCTTACATCTGCTCCTAAAAGAGCTCTCCCAATGTCTTGCATAGGTTCATTTTCAGGTAGTACAAGACCTAATGACCTACACATGAGATCAAATTGCAAGTCTCGATTCAATCCTCTAAATTCTCCTTGAACAAATTTATATCAATTCATACATTTTCATGGGAAATTATAGTTTTATAAGCTTCTAAAGGATCACAAATAGTATACTAATTTTGCATATGGTCATAAATAGTTCCAAAAGTATACTATCTATTTCATTATTGGTTCTCAATCTTTAATTTGTTTCAATTACATCCCTAAACATCTAGTTGAGCTATTACAATGCACAAAATAAGTTGTAATTGATGTCGTACCCATCTACTTTTGGACTACATAAAGGCTGAGGTGGCCTGGTTAGTTATTCAAATATTGATAGTGTGGCATTATCAATATCAAGAAACTAAACTTTTCAACCAACTTGAATGTAAAACCAATTATGATCAGGTTTCATTCTAAATTCAGACCATGTCTATAAATGAGAACCACTGTGTATATAGAACTACAAGCCCTGCACATTCAGAAATAAATAAATAAAAATCCATTTTCAATCAATGTGTGATTTTCTGAGAAGGAGAGGGATTTGGACAGCGAAAGAGAAAAAACAAACAGAAAATCAAAATGGTCAAAAACATATTGAAAATATTAATTACAAAACAAAGTTAATTCCAGAAGAGAACCCTAACCTTACCCAGCTTATACTGCCAATTCAACAACTTTAGTTTATTGACAACACACAACATATATAAATTGACTCATGATGATTATGATATTGAACTACACAAGCACAACATAGATCCTCTACCTTTTCCATTTGATTGGCTCAAAGCTGTTAAAGGATAATCCAAAGATGATGTGATCTAGAAATTTAAAAAATTATCAGAATTTTAGGAGATATATATCATTAAAAATTTTAAACTATGAGAAAAACAGAGAGAGAAAAAAAATTAATCTTATGCAACTCAAAGATTAATGTAAAACATATATTTCCAACAAAAACTTATCATGTTCTAGTAGTAGATCAGAAGTTGCAGTTTCCAACAGTTTTTTCACATTATTATCAGTAAGGGTGCACAAAATACCTAGAAAACCCGAGAACCAAAGGGTCTGGTCAGGTTAGTTTGGTTTTTTTAATACATTGCTTGGAAGATCCCATCATCATTCTTATTTTTTGGTGTTTGGCTAAACATTAAAAGGTAAAATAAAAATAACAAAAGTTTTCCATTGACACATTTTATCGAACATTTAACACGCAAGGAAAATGGTACAATAAGAATCACAATATCAACAAGCTATTCCAACAAAAAAAAAAATCCATAAAAAAATTTATGCCAGTACGAAAAGAATCAATCAACGAACTACTCATTAGGAAATACTACAAAATCGAACTTCGAATCACAATCCCGAGATGAATCACTGACCTGTAGAAGAATCGAAGAAGAATCACTGAGTAAAAGAGTGAAGAAGAATCGAGAGCCCTAAGACCTATATAGAGCCCTAAACAAAAGTATTCACTAAGCAAAACATTGATCCAAAACAGAGATAAATCACAAACAGAACAACTAACCTCTGATTGAAGAAGACGAAGAGTTCCAAATCCATGGAGATAAATCACGGAGCTGTGCTCAAAATCGAACTTCGAAATCGCAATCCCGAGATGAATCACCGAACTGAAGAAGAATCGAAGAAGAATCACTGAGTAAGAGACTAAAGAAGAATCGATCCAGATTTGGAGAAACAGATTCGATTCTCTGCGAGAAAGAGAGAGCAAGAGAGTGAGTGAGACAAGATTCAATCGTCTAGACGGCGGTGCTAAAAATAGGGTTTTCAAAATAAAGGTTTGGAGAGACAGAAGTGGCTGTGAAGAGAGACCGGATTTGAATGCGCTTTTCAAACGTCTTCCACTCCCAAAACGGTACCGTTTTAATTTATAACAAATGTGACGTTTAAAAAACGCCGTTAATTACTAGAAAAAGTGACATTTACTTAAACGCCGTTAAATGAACGCCGTTAAATCCCTAATTTCCTGTAGTGACATAACATTGTTTGCCTTTTGGATTCCTGCTAATGAGTACCAAACACACCTCCCTATCTCTCTCTCGCAGACGTCCTCATCTCTCTCTCTTTTATCCTCATTTCAAATTTTAATCTCCTTCTGTCTCTCTCTCTCTCTCTCTCTCCTACCCACTCTTCCTTCTTGGCTTTACCTATGGCAACTTGGTTGAGATTCGAGTGCAGTGTTTGATCAAATGCAAGGTAGATCGGTCAACGCAACTAGCGAGAAAAAGATCGGTATCCTCTTTAAATTTTTCCTCCCTTTTCTAGGCATATCTAGGGTTTCTCGGTTCAATTTTTTTTTTTTTTTGTTGATTGTCCTTTTTCGGTTTTTATTTTTATTTTTTTATGTGTGTCTTTGTATGCATTCATTATGTTCTGTAAAATGCCTCACATAGGTCTCGAAATGTTTTCCTAAAATGGGTCTCCAAAATGCCTCAAAATTTTTATTTGGGTTTTCGTTGGGTGTCTAAATTTTTATGTCATTTGTTTCTCATTTGGGTTTGATTGTGTTTCTCATTTATATTATGTGATTTGTTTCTCATTTATATTGCCTCAATTAAAATCTATCTCTTTACGCCTCTATATTTTGTGTGTCTTCATGCATATACCATGTTCGATAAAATGCCTCAATTAAAATAGTTTAATTTTTGATGTTAGCTGCTTATATAATTCTACTTTTTTTGTTGTTAAAATAGTGAGTGAATTTATTATAACAGGCCAAGTAAATGTAGTGTACGGCGGTAAGGTTTAGCAAAAATAGAGGTATATTCAAATCGGTGATACAAACAGTGGGAGTTGGATGTTATTTTTAATAATAAACAGTAGGCAAATTTTGGACAAGGGATAATGGAGCTTGACAGGTCTACACTTTTTTAAGCTGAAGTTTTTCTTATCTCCCAAGCACTGCTACTCTCCAGGTAAGATCACTCTTTTCATTTTATGTGGTGACTATGTACTGGATTGATTTACCCTTGGTTTTTTCTTCTTGAATCTTTGTCTATTGGGTAGGAAATAATGACATAGTAGTTGTGTTTCTTGAATCTTCAATTTTGCTGTCAAACGGGTAAGATAAGTGTTCCTCAAATGCTAACAAAAGGATATACTTATATTTTTATATTTTTTATAAAAAAAAAACCCCCGAAATTTTGCTCTCAAAATTTTGAAAGAGACGATAATTGTGGTCATATAAGCCAATCAAAATTTAGAAAGTGCTTCATCTGTTTTATTTGAAGTGAATTTTAGTGCAACATTTATGCTGCAAATGTTGTGAATTAAATTAGTCATGTTTGAGAAAAATTGCTTAGGCCTAGATTGTTAATAGTTTATTTTTGAAAAAAAAAATCAAAAAATATTACAAATTATCACATTACTCTCCATTTTTTTACATATTTTTTTAATAAAACATTAATAAAATAACCATTCTCAAACTTCTTCTTAGTAGCAATCTCTCCCATCTTTTGTCTTTCTCATCATTTTTTTTTTCTTTATCTTATTTGGAATTGAGATTGCACATCAACAAATCCACTAAGCGAAAATATCCGTTTGGTAGAGCTTTGTAACTATGATTTGAGAATATGAGTTGTATTTTGAGTTTGTGTGTTTTAGAATTATGATTTGAGTGTAGAAAATTTGTTTGGTTATGGTTTTTGAATAAAGTGTTGAATTGAGTGTGGAATTGAGTGTAGAATTGAGTTTTGAAAGTTTGATTTGACATGTGAAGTAAGAAAATTTGTTTGGTTATGAGTTTTGAAAAGAGTTTTCAAAACTTAATTCAAATTGTTATAACTCATAACAAAACACATTACTTTCACATTATTGAAAATTTTGATCAACACTCATAACCAAACTCTTTTTAAAATTCAATTAAAAAAATTTATTATTAATAGAAAATAACATTAATCAATTTTTTAATTGAAAATACTACAAATGAAATAAATTTTTTTCAAAATAAATATTCAAAAAATTTAAATCATAAATATTTAAATAATTTAAATAATCTAAAAAATTTAATAAGTAAAAAATTAAAATAAATATTCAAAAATTTTAAATCGTAAAAATTTAAATAATTTAAATATTTAAAAAATTAAAATAATTTAAAATTTTAATATTTTAAATTTAAAAATAACTCTACACTCAAATCGTAACCAAACACATAAAACAAAATTCAATTAAAAAATTATTTTTAAAACTCATAACCAAACACATAACTCGAAACTCCATACTACTTTCACAACTCTACACTCAAATCGTAACCAAATACATAACAAAAAAATTAAAATATTTAAAAATATTTTTATAAAATAGAGTTTGAATTTATTTTTATAAAATATTTTAAAATTTAAAAAATTAAAATCGTAATATTTAAAAATATTCAAAAAATTAAAAAAATTAAAAAATTAAAAAAATCGTAACATATTTAAATATTAAAATATTTAAAATCTTAACAAAATTAAAATATTTTTAAAATATTGATTTGAATGGAGTTTTGAAAAGAGTTTTGAATTATGTGTTTGGTTATGAGTTTTGAAAAGTAATGATTATGTTTTGAATTGAGTTTTGAAAAATGAGTGTAGAATTATGATTTGAAAACCCTAAACAAACATCATACTCAAAAGTGAGTGTGAAACTAGATTTTGAAAACTCCACCAAACGGAGCCTTAATTCTTGAGCTATATGCTTTGAAGGGTTCCTAATTAACTATGCTAATTCTTGAGCTATATGCTTTGAAGGGTTCCTAAAATCCAAAATAGAAGAAGAAAAAGAAGAACTTGAAGTAGACATGTAGAATGAATCTCAAAAAAACATAAGATATATATAGAGAGAGAGAAGATTAAATTACCTGAAACGAGAAGAATGAGAAACAGAACAAACTTTTGTCTATGTGGTGGTGATGTTTGTTTTTTGTTTTGGTTTCAGAGACATAGGCCTCTTTTGGGTATATGGTTTTTAGCCACTTTTTTGAGTTTATAAAAGCCAAAAGTTAGCTTTTTTGTATTTAAAGACATTTGAAAAGCTGGTTTTTAATAATTGGTGAAATTACAATTCTACCTCTCATGGGTCAAAATATGTTACATAGGTGAAGTTGTAAATATTTTAAATTAAATGTGGATAGTTTGGTCATTTCATTGTGATTTGATGCCATAAATAAATATTAATAAAAAAAATCAAAAGTAACTTTTTATCAACTTCTCAAATCATTTGTTTAAAAAAGTCAAAAACTTAATTAAAAGTAAAAAAAAATTATTTTTTACCATTTTTTCAAAAACATCCCATAGAAGGGTATGAGAGAGAGAGAGAATGTTGAGCAATTCAGAGAGATGATGTAAGATATATATAGTAGTTAGGTGAGGGAGGAGAGTGGTTGGGAATTGAGAAGAACGAGTAAAAAATGGTGTACAGTTCATTACCAACATAATATAGAAAAACATATAGAAATGAATATAGAAACCCATATCAGTTGCTATCAGTTTAGAGCAACAATTACTATGGGCTTTATTTTATTTTTTAGAGCAATAAAGGAAGTTAGGTTGCTGGACATCAAGTCCATTTCGTATTAAATTCATATTATGAATACCATGTTCTACAACTTTAAAAATCCATTTTCAATCAATGTGTGATTTTCTGAGAAGCTAAACAGAAAATCAAAATGGTCAAAAACATATTGAAAATATTAATTACAAAACAAAGTTAATTCCAGAAGAGAACCCTAACCTTACCCAGCTTATACTGCCAATTCAACAGCTTTAGTTTATTGACAACACACAACATATATAAATTGATTCATGATGATTATGATATTGAACTACACAAGCACAACATAGATCCTCTACCTTTTCCATTTGATTGGCTCAAAGCTGTTAAAGGATAATCCAAAGATGATGTGATCTAGAAATTTAAAAAATTATCAGAATTTTAGGATTACACTCAATAATAAACAAATACATATATATCATTAAAAATTTTAAACTATGAGAAAAACAGAGAGAAAAAAAATTAATCTTATGCAACTCAAAGATTAATGTAAAACATATATTTCCAACAAAAACTTATCATGTTCTAGTAGTAGATCAGAAGTTGCAGTTTCCAACAGTTTTTTCACATTATTATCAGTAAGGGTGCACAAAATACCCAGAAAACCCGAGAACCAAAGGGTCTGGTCAGGTTAGTTTGGTTTTTTTAATACATTGCTTGGAAGATCCCATCATCATTTTTATTTTTTGGTGTTTGGCTAAACATTAAAAGGTAAAATAAAAATAACAAAAGTTTTCCATTGACACATTTTATCGAACATTTAACACGCAAGGAAAATGGTACAATAAGAATCACAATATCAACAAGCTATTCCAACAAAAAAAAATCCATAAAAAAATTTATGTCAGTACGAAAAGAATCAAACAACGAACTACTCATTAGGAAATACTACAAAATCGAACTTCGAAATCACAATCCCGAGATGAATCACTGACCTGTAGAAGAATCGAAGAAGAATCACTGAGTAAAAGAGTGAAGAAGAATCGAGAGCCCTAAGACCTCTATAGAGCCCTAAACAAAAGTATTCACTAAGCAAAACATTGATCCAAAACAGAGATAAATCACAAACAGAACAACTAACCTCTGATTGAAGAAGACGAAGAGTTCCAAATCCATGGAGATAAATCACGGAGCTGTGCTCAAAATCGAACGTCGAAATCGCAATCCCGAGATGAATCACCGAACTGAAGAAGAATCGAAGAAGAATCACTGAGTAAGAGACTAAAGAAGAATCGATCCAGATTTGGAGAAACAGATTCGATTCTCTGCGAGAAAGAGAGAGCAAGAGAGTGAGTGAGACAGGATTCAATCGTCTAGACGGCGGTGCTAAAAATAGGGTTTTCAAAATAAAGGTTTGGAGAGACAGTAGTGGCTGTGAAGAGAGACCAGATTTGAAGGCGCTTTTCAAACGCCTTCCACTCCCAAAACGGTACCGTTTTAATTTATAACAAATGTGACGTTTAAAAAGCGCCGTTAATTGCTAGAAAAAGTGACGTTTACTTAAACGCCGTTAAATGAACGCCGTTAAATCCCTAATTTCCTGTAGTGTTTGAAAGAAAACTTCTAAGACTAAATGGAATAACTTTTCTCCAAATGAGATTTATGAGTAATTTTTTCAAATAACAAAATAAAATTTTTTGAAAAATATTTTTAAAAAATTAAAAACAATCATAATGATTATTATTTTGAAACGAATGGAGTAATAATTATTGTGACACTATCCTATTATTATCCCAATGAATCATGCCAAACCCATAATTGACTCATCTTTTTACAGATCTAGTGTTACTGCTGTGCATCAGGCACAACAGTGATTGTTGTATAACCTGTGAGACTTATTTCGCGTCCTATTTTGATGACTCGAATCGTTTAAATTTTAAGAAATATCGAGAACAATATACTTGTAAAAAATCAAGTTGATCAGATATTAATAACATCTTCATCAAATAATATTTATATTTAATTTGATGCATACATATTCATTTTTTTTTATATAAAGATGTCATTTGACGAACAAGTTATTGATATCTGATTAATTTGATTTTTTACAAGTATATTATTTTCAATATTTTCTTAAATTTAAATGATTCGAATTATCAAAACAGAACCCAAATAAGTCATACAATTACACAACAGTCACACCGGATCCTCTTTCTACAAGTCTCATCCCCTATAAAATTTTTGAAATTATTGTGACACTATCCTATTATCATTCCAATGAATCATGTCAGACGAATAGTTGACTCATCTTTCTATGTAATTATTGTGACACTATTCATTTTGTTTAGTTTTAATTTTTAAAATTCAATTTTTCAAAATTTGAAATATTTGAAATATTTTTTGTATTTTTATACTTTTATTAATTTTTTTAATATTTTAAATAATTTTTAAAATTTTTAGATATATTAACATAAATATGCTTAAAAAATATAATATTTGCGAAATTTTTTTAAGAAAATTTAATAAATATCAAAAATATAAAAAAATGAGAATTTAGTATATTTTTGTATATTTATTAATTTTTTAAAATATTTTTTTATAAATATTTTACTTTTTGATATATTTAATTAAACAAAAAATTGCATAAATTTTTAAAAATATTTATTAAAAATAAAAAAAAAACTTAATTTAAAAAAAATTAAATTCAAAAAATTAAAATTAAACACAATTATTATCCAAATGAGCAATGTCAGACCAATAATTAACACATCTTTTCATACGTCTCACTAGAATAGATATGATATTTTCAATGCATTGCTTTTTCTTTAAAGGAAAACTACTATTGAGGTTTTGAAAAGTTATTATAATAAAAAATTTATAATTTTAATTATTAATATTTGTAAAATTTATCATTTTTTAAATGTTTTTTTGCACACCACTAGTGTGTAATTCCCCCTTTTTTAATATATTTTTTAAAATTTGTATGCAAACTTTGTGATCACTAATTTTTCTTAAAAAATTACAAATAAATGGATTATTTTAAAAATAATTTCACTAAAAATAAAATTCTTTTTATACAATTTTGATATACAAAAAAGACTTGCCCTATATATATACAAAAAAAACTTGCACCAGTATGAATATGAAACTATTTTTTCACTATCCAATTCAAATATAACTTTTTCTTATTTTTAAATCAAAATATCTACCATTACACAAATTAATTGAAAAGATTGGACTAGCCAATCCTATCCTATAGGTCCAGCACATGACATAAGCATATTTTGAAAAAATGGCAAAAAATAATTTGTTTTGCTTTTAACTAAGCTTTTGACATTTTCAAATAAATAATTTGAGAAGTTAGTAAAAATTTACTTTTGACTTTTTTATTTATATTTATTTATAATGTCAAATCATAATAAAATGATCAAACTATCCCTATTAGTTTAAAATATTTATAACTTCAATCATGCAGTACGTTTTGACTTATGAGAGATAAAATTGTAATTTTATCAAAGCAACTTCCCAAATGAAAAAAAAAATGTGAAAAACCAACTTTTAACCATTGCTACAAACCAAAAAAAATTGCTAAAAGCCAACTTCCCAAAAATAACACATACTTTAATATTCCATCTGGTTATATTTTGAAGAAATATCAATCAGTGGATTTTAAAAAATATAATTACAAATCAGTAGAAAATTTTATAAATATTTATAATTAAAATTATAAAAAATTTCATGATTTTGTAATAAGTTTTTGTTGTTACCACTGGAGAGTAATATCCCCCTTATATTTTTGGTTTATATGTATAAATTGTTCTTTTAAGAAATTAATTTAATATTCTCAAAATTATTTTTGTTATTTAATTTTTAATAAAGAAAGAAATTATTGGATTAATTCAATTATTTTTTAACGAATAATCTACATATAACTACAAAATAAGCAAATAGAATGATTAAAGCGAACTTTATGAGAAACCCACAATGTAAGAAATAACTAGTCTACTTCTTATATAAAATTGAAAGAATTGATTTTTTTTTATTATTTAAATTATCGTTGTCACATTATTATAAACTGATTATTTTTCTATATATCAAAACTTTACTTGCCTACCTTTTCCCTCTTTTGCTCATCCATTTATGAATCAAAATGGTTAGTGACCTTAAAATTTCTATCTATTTTTTTCCAAACATTAACACGAGTATGAGTCTTACATTCATGTGAATACATAGTGTGGAGACATAATTTTTGAATGACAACACGTGGCCGAGGTGTCACCGAAGTGCTGGCCGAGGTGTCACCGAAGTGCCAGCCGAGGTGCCACGTGTCCTGGTCATGACACTGTGATGATCTCGGCTAGACAGAGGTTATCTGCGAGAATACCGAAATCCGAGATAAGCGGATAAGGGACAAGAGTCCTAGAATGGGAGAAGACTTCAGTTTGGGTAAAGATGAGACTCTTAGAGAGTTTTATCCTAATTCTACTGGGAGCCCAAGATTAGCAGTAATCCTAAGTCCATTAGAGCTAGGCTTCTATTGGGATTAGGATTATGTTGGCTATAAAAGAGAGGCACCCTCATGGGTCTAAGGTATGTCTTTTATGTTTTTGATATTCTGTCTAGTGAGTTAAGCACTATTGGTTATCTTTGAGAGATATTGAGTATTGACTTGATTGTCGAAGTGCCCTCGGGTGGACAAGCCACCGCTGGAAACTCTTCTTTCTGTTGCAGGTCATTCGAGCTTAATCTATTCTGAAGGTGCCCTCTAGCTGGGTACCTGTTTGGCAGTGTGGTCAAAAAATCACCCACACAATTTGGCGCCGTCTGTGGGAACGAAAGGAGAATAGATGGCCAACGATAGACCGAAAGAGAAGGTTAGGGACGACACACCTACTGAGAGTGGGAAACATATTGACCTTGGCGTCGAAGAAGACAACTACAACGAAGAAACTCGTGATAAGAATCACGGAGAAGAGGACGTCGATCAGGAGGGCGACGTACCGAAGAAATTAGACCAAAGCAAATATTATAACGAGGATGACCTCCAGCCACCGTTCCCGTCACAAGATACGCCGATTTCAGCAGCCAAGAAAGATGCCCATGCAGGGGGGCAGAAGACATGTAGAGACCCTAATTTTTGGTAATTACACATGAAACCCGGAGCCTTAGTTTAATAGCATTTTAGCACCTAGTTTCGTAAAAGTCTGCAAAATGGCCCAATAAATAATAATTTTCCTGTATATTATCAAAATTAAACCGAGAACACCACTTTATAATTGGAAATACCCTAAAACTTGGTTTTTATTTATTTACCTCTTAGTTTATAAATTAATTCATACATTTTATTTTTATTTTTATTTTTGTTTTTGTTGTTCTTTTATTTATTATTTATTTGAATATTTATTATTTATTTGACTATGTACATAGGTGTCACAAATAATATTTTGGTGGGAATTGATTGAAAAACAAAATAAAAAAATATCTAGATATTTTATGCTTCCTTAGTCATTAAACTAAGACCAAGCTTATTTCCTATAAATTGAGTGCCTTGTCTCAATTCCACGCGCACACACACATACCAGTAGCCAAGGAGAGGGTGAGAGAAGGAGAGTGTGATTAAAGGGAAGTAGAGAAGAAGAAGAAAAGAAAAGGAAGAAAATGGTACCTTCTTGAGTCAAGGTAAGAACACTTCTTCCCCTTGTCTTCTCCAATTCTTTCACCATCCCATCCTATTGTTAGATGCCCTCTTGTGTTTCATGTTAATGGGAAATAGGGTTTTTGATGTATATAAGAGTGTGGGTTTGATTTAGTGACTTTGCCTTACAAATTTGTCAAATTAGGCACTGCTGCAATTTCTCTAATTTAAAAGAAATATCAAATTTATTTATTTCTTAATTCTGAATTTAGTGTGAGATATTTGGTGTGTTTAGAGCTTGTGGTAATTTTATTAGACCCTAATTGTGTGTTTTAGGGCTTGGATACCTTGTTTAAATATCTGGTCCTGAGTCTCTGAAAAACAGCCCACTTCTTGCAATTTTATAAAATTCCAGAAAAATCATCTCAGGTTGGTTCTTCTATACAAATTTAGGATTTTGAGTCCTCTTTTCAATGGAATTTATTTGGGTGAAAATAATTGGGTAGATTGAGAGGAAAGCTAGTTTTCCCAACGGATGACAAATCTGGACAGGTTTTCGAATATAGCTTGTAGATGAATTTTTGGAGGTGCTATGCACATTCTGTGAATTGGAATTGAAACTAGACAGGTTAATTATTATTTCTGTGCAATTTCAGCCCCTAATTTGACCTAGAAGTATTTTTCCCTAAGCACTCTTGTTAGACCTGCAGAACCGAACAATGCTGGAAATAGTGTTTTGTTGTATTGTTTGTCTCTAAGTGTTTTAAAGCATGCCTAATGTTATCTGCTTGCCTTACCATACCTATGTATGATTATCATGGGCTATATTTCATTTCTTATGTTTGTCTCATGCTCTTTTATATTACCGAATTATCGAATGTAACTAGCTTGCTTGGCAAAAGATCTAATAAATGGGAAATGGGAAATAGAAAGGGGTTGGTAATGGGTGACGTTCACCCTTGTGCTTCAGAATGATTTATGTAATAAACATGTGAATGGAATTAAAACCAACTGAGTTAAGTCCTGTACAAGCAGTCTAAGCGAGCCCCTAGGTTGACACGGATGTATTCAGACTCTATGCGGTGGTTTCAGGGTGTAAACGAGCCCTTTGGTATGGTATGTGCAGGGTGTAAGCGAGCCCTAGGCACGATTTGGTATGGTATGTGCAGGGTGTAAGTGAGCCCTAGGCACGATTTGGGTGTAAGCAAGCCCACTTGTTTGGCCGTCCCTTTTGAGGTCCATCAATGTCATTGACCGGTAAATAACCGGGAGGTGGGCATAGATGGTAAGGTCTGCAAAGTAGCAAAAGGGGGAGTTCTGAATAGTCCGGTGTTCAATCCTTATGGTTGGATAGAAGGATCTCTTTGGGGGATTCTAGTCGTCTAGTCTAACTACTAATTCATAGAACCTTGTTGTAATATTGTAAGTTATGTTACCTAATTTGTTTTGTGTATGGTTGATTGGTTGATAGAAGATATGGGGGGTGTGTGTGTTTTTACTGGGCATTCCAAGCTCATGGCGTGCCATGCCAAGTGATGAAGCAGTTTACAATGGTGAAGGTTATTTTGATGGCAAATATGATGAAGTGTTGGAGCTGTGGTTCATTTGAAGACTTAGATTAGTTTTTTTTTTTTTTTTTCTTTTAACTTTTGGTTTGGCAATGTTTTGGTAATCCTGTAATGGAACATAAACGAATTGCCTGTGATATTAACTCTGGTTATATATGTATATTAAGATGTTTTGGTTATCTATCCTACTTGTATTGTATTATTGTACGTATTTAACGGCCCAGAAGTTGGGGCGTTACAAGACAACTCCTACGACTCCTCAGCACGATAGGACCAAGGAACATTCTCACCGACCTTCAAGGGAGGTTGGATGAGGAGAATCAAGAAGGGGAGATTCACATAGGACACATCGCACCAAGGAAGCTGAAACCAAAGAACATCGACATGTTCAGGAGAAGGACCTTTGTTTCGACGCGACAAATGGAGGGAGGTCCAAAAAGACTCACAATGACACAGGAAGTAGTGCACCAAAGAGGCTGAAATCCGGAGATAGCTGAGCTCCTAGATGAACCAAGGAGGATCTGAGGGATTAGCTCCAGAGAAAGCGACAAGATGCCGAGATGACCTCACCTGTCAAGCCGAGATAACACTAGATATGAGAGGACAAGAGCTCAGCCCAAGTAAGTCGATCCCGGATTCTAGATCTCGGATCCCAGATCCTAGAAGACAAGATCTTGGCCTAAGATGATTAAGTCCGAGAAGAGAAGAGTTTACCGAGATAATGTTTACAAGTTGAAACTTGAGAAAAGTTTACAAGTTGAAGTTAAACCGAGATAATGTTTAACACTTGTTGAAACTTGAGAAAAGTTTACAAGTTGAAGTTAAACCGAGATTATGTTTAACACTTGTTGAAACTTGAGAAAAGTTTACAAGTTGAAGTTAAACCGAGATGATGTTTAACACTTGTTGAAACTTGAGAAAAGTTTACAAATTAAAGTTAAACCGAAATATGTTTAACATTTGTTGAAACTTGAAAAAAGTTTACAAGTTGAAATTAAACCAGAGTCGTGATTAAAAAAAGGAATGATATAGGTTCCATCACCTCAGGATGCCGAGGTAATAGAACCTAGGGGGCAGTTGTGGGGACATAATTTTTAAATGACAACACGTGGCCGAGGTGTCACCGAAGTGCCAGCCAAGGTGCCACGTGTCCAGGTCATGACACCGAGATGATCTCGGCTAGGCCGAGGTTATCTGCGAGAATACCAGAATCCAAGATAAGCGGATAAGGGACAAGAGTCCTAGAATGGGAGAATACTTCAGTTTGGGTAAAGATGAGACTCTTAGAGAGTTTTATCCTAATTCTACTGGGAGTCCAAGATTAGCAGTAATCCTAAGTCCATTAGAGCTAGGCTTCTATTGGGACTAGGATTATGTTGGCTATAAAAGAGAGGCACCCTCATGGGTCTAAGGTATGTCTTTTATGCTTTTGATATTCTGTCTAGTGAGTTAAACACTATTGGTTATCTTTGAGAGATATTGAGTACTGACTTGATCGTCGGAGTGCCCCCGGGTGGACGAGCCACCGCTGGAAACTCTTATTTCTGTTGCAGGTCGTTCGAGTTTAATCTATTCTGCCGGTGCTCTCTAGCTGGGTACCTGTTTGGCAGTGTGGTCAGAAAATCACCCACACACATAGTAAAGATTTTAATAAAAAATTTATATTCCTAACAATCTTGTTTTAAAAAATCTACTAACTCAAACTTATTCATTCAAAATTTTCTGAATAAATAATTTAGGGGTGAGCAGCGGATATACCGATCCGCCAAAACCGACCGAATCGAACCGATCCGCCGCATTTTGGACGGATACGTGATGATGAGCAGACAGTTGCAGATTGATTTTCTCCAATCCGCCAATTTGGCGGACGGATGACGGATTTAAGATTCTTTTGGCCGCAACTGAACCGCCAAACCGCGAGTACCCCTAGTAATTTATATGACTTTGTATTTTCAATTTGTTTAAATATTTTGTTTGTGTTTTCAATTGAAAAATAGTTTAAATATTCTGTTGAAAAAAAGTTTTCAACTTGAATATATTTTTTGAATTGAAAAAAATAAACATATTATTTATCTATATTTTTTAGTTTTTAAATCTAACTCTAAAAATAATAAATAAAAAATATGATATCTGGTTAGTTTTTGTTTTCAAAAATATATATAGATGTAACAGTACAGAGACATACAATCTCTACTACTGCTCTGCTCATGGTTTTGGTGGTTTGAATTATTTTTATATTTTAATAACCACAGATTGTAATACTTTATGTAGATGAATCATGCTGTGATTGTAATATGTGGATGAGGCATGCAAGGATTGTGATATACTAAAGTTTCAATCTTTTTTTCTTTGGATAATGTATACAGTGATTGTAGTACTTTTTTAAGTCATTGACTGTAATACTTTCTTCTTTTTTTTTTTTTGAGGAAGTGCACAAGTTGAATTATGTTGAAAATTTATAAAATTTTAAACCGCCAAACCGATTTGCATCCATCCGCCAAACCGCCAATCCGCTCAATCCACATCTGCCGGATTGGCGGACGGATGCAGATTGATTTTCTCCAATCCGCCAATCTGGCGGACGGACGGCGGATTGAAGGTTCCGTGGCCGTAATCGATCCCCGCCCACCCCTAAAATAATTATAAGATATAAATTAATTTATATAATATGAGATTTATATAGAATTTATTGGTGGTGTTTGGCAACTTGGTTTTTGGATTTTTTTTTTCTTTTTTTTTTCACTACAAGACAAATATTTTACAAAACCAAAAAAAATAAATCCAAACAAAATATCACTTCAAACCCCATAATTATTTCACTTTTTCTCTCACAAACATCACATCCAATCACAAAAAAACCCAACTATCTTCCTAAATACACAATATATATATATATATATATATATCTCTAATAAAATCCTACAACTAAAAAAACTTACAAAAAAATTCACTTTTCAAACACCCACAAGATATGACAGAGATAAATTTCCGAATAATTTTATGAGAGTGACTGTTCCTGTTAATGGATAGCTCTATCAATCGCATAAAGATCCTATAGAGTAATGTTCCTACAGTGATCTCCTAGAGTGCAAGACAAGCAGTTGACACGTGTCCCACTCATCGAACCAAGAGCTGAGATTCAACTCACCAAAACGAAGTCATTTTGGTGAGTAATTTGAAAAAAAACAAAACAAAAACAAAGTGAGAGAGAGACAAGAAGAGAGAGAGAGAGAGAGAGAGAGAGAGAGAAGAGGATCTCCAATCTCTGTCGTGGCTGTTTTGATTTATATATGTATATATATATATATATCATCTCTATGTTTTATATATTTGTTTGTTTTGATTTATATATATATAGATCTAGAAGGAAAAGAAAGGAAGAGGAAAATGAAGGAATGAGAGGTGCGGCGGGGGAGGGTGTAGCAGAGGCAACAGCGCGTCTGGGGTGGGAATGGGAGGGGCGGCGATGTCCTCCTCCTCTTCTCTCCTTCTCTCAGTGGGTTTGCGTAGTTGTTTAAGTAATTTTACCCGATTGGAGCTTCAAACGCTTAATCAAGCCCATTGCATTGATAACATCAACACTATGTTTGGGTTTTTGAATGCTGTTGAATAAACCAGAATCATCAATAAACAAACTAAACAGGTCTCTTTCTCTCTCATCAAATTACACACTTTATCACAAAAAAAAAAAAAAAAATCATATTTGTAGCGCTTAAATGTATATGGGTTTGATTTAAAGTCTTTGTTTTGAAGTGTTTTAAGCTCAACAAGTCTCTTTCTTTCTCATTCTTTCAATTCTCTCATCAAATTAGTAGCAGCGGTGGCGTGTCGGGGGTGAAAAGAGCTCCTCCTCTCAGCCCTTTTCTCTCTCTTTAATGCTTCATATTTGCAGGAACCCTTGAATGTTTTGAATTAAAGCTATTTCTTCTTTTCTTTTTCTTTTTTTTTTTGGTCTGCAAATTACTCACCAAAACGATGTTGTTTTGGTGAGATTTAATTTCCACCGTTAGATGGATCAATCTAGAGATCACTTGAGGGTTAATTCATGTTTCCTAATCTGATTAAAGCAAACCAATGGGGCAGGTAGGTAGTAGTCATATTTTAAAGAATTGTTTTAATAAATTTTATAAATATTAATAATTATTGAAGCTAATTGGATTAGAGCGTATCACATTGTGGGTGGTCGGGAAGTGAGTTTTTATGTAGGTTTTTTTAGTTAAAAGATGTTATTAGATAAAAAAATTTTTGTGTTTGGGAAGATAGTTGATTTTTTTGTGGTTGGATGTGATATTTATGAGAGAAAAAGTGAAATGATTATAAGGTTGAATGTAATATCTTACTTGAATTTGTTTTGTTTTTTTTTTTATTTTACAAAAACTTTGTTATTTAATGAAAAAAAAAAAACCCAAAACCAAAATCTTGCCAAACACCGCCATTATCTGTACTTTGAGTAGTTTTGGTCACGTGGTGTGGTGTGGTGTGGTGTTATTTTAAAGAATTGTTTTAACAAATTATTTCATTACAAAATATAAATTCCATCAAAGGGGGTGGCACCAGTTGCATTTGAGGATATTGAATTGAAGAAATTAAATATATATATATATATAATTTATGTATGTTTTAATTTGTCATTTGTTGATCTTGAAAATTCGTCCTCGGCTACTTTCATTGTCATTTGTCATCTTTAAAAAATTGTTTGAGCACCTTAAACTGATTGTGTGGGGATATATTTTCTGAATACCAACACGTGGCATGGTGACGCCGACGTGTCAGCCGAGGTGCCACGTGCCCTGGTAGTTAAGCCGAGGTAATCTCGGAGAAGCCGAGGTCATCTCCGAAGATATCGGAATCCGAGATAAGGGGCAAGAGTCCTAAGGCACAAAGGGGACTGAATCAAGATAAGGATAAAGCTCTCAAGGAGTTTATCTGTAAAGAGTCCAGAGTAAACAGTGAACTAGAATTCATAGAAGTCATACTTCTAGTGGGACTTGGATTGAGTATATTATAAAAGAGAGGCACCCCCATGGGTCTAAGGTATGCAATTTATGTTTTGAGTATTCAGTTTAGTACTTGATTATCTTTTGGAGATATACTGACTTGATCGTCGGAGTGCCCCCGGGTGGAAGAACCACCGCCGGAGCTTTTTCTTTCTGTTTCAGGC